ATCTGTTTAAAAATCAGTCTTTTTTTCTTTGAATACACATAATAAAACTTATCATCTTAACTATTTGTAAATATACTGTTTTGTGGTGTTAAGTACACTTAACATTATTGGGAAGCCTATCTCTAGTACTTTTTCATATTGCAAAACTAAAACTCTACACCTATTAAACAGTAACTGCTCACTTTCCCTAGGCCTGAAAACCAAGATTCTGCTTTCTGTCTCTCTGAATTTGACTATTCTAGGAATATGCTTGGAATATAGCATTTGACTTTTGTGATTGACTTTATCACTCAGCACAATGTCCTCAAAGTTTGCCCATGTTGGAGCATGTGCCTGAATTTCCTTTATATTTAAAACTGAAAATATATGCATCAAATTTTCTTTTTCTATTCATCTGCCTGATACATGGTCAGCTTCTACCTTTTGGCTACTGTGAATAATGCCACTATAAACAAGGGTGTACAAATAACTCTTCAAGATCTTGCTTTCAATTATTTTATGAATTGCTCTTTTGTGGGCTTCTTGCTCTTGCAAGAGATGTTTTCTGAAGGAACATTTCTCCATTTTATCTGTCCTATGATCATGCTCACCTTTCCATCTCTATCCCATTTATAAAGCCTCCTTTCCCCAGAACAGTGTTTTCAGAAACCTGTTCACAACATTTACCAGGCAATTAATCTGCATGTCCAGAATTACCAGAAGCAAAGAAAGAATCAGAAAATGAATGAAAACCTCATCCTAAGAGTTCTAAGGGTCCAAACCAGAGAAGCCACATCTATGGACAAACTCAAATTGAAAACTGGTCATTGGAAATGGGAAACAGAGCTAGGCTGATATGGGAACATACCTGACCAAAGACAAGAGGAGAAGTAGGTAATATGAAAGAGCTACAAGGAGCCCAACATTCCTATTCACTACTGCCAGGATAGATAAATGGAAGATACATGGGTCACAGAAGGTACCTTCAGACCCAGTGCTGGTCTGAGGAGCCTGTTTCCCAAGTGATCCCATCATCCTGTACCTCATCTATTTTACCCAAAAACCATTTCACCGACAGGAATATCATTATTTTTTAAAGAAATTGCCTAATTGGAATTATATAAAACCAAAAATCTTCTGCATAGCAAAAAAAAAAAAATAATAATAACAAAATGAAAAGGCAATTTATGGAATGTGAGAAAATATTTATAAGTCATATATTTGGTTTCATGTGCACAGAAGCACAGACGCTGTCCTGAGTTCAGAGGACAGGGTCCACCTTTCCTTTCCTCTCACTAGTCCCCTCCTCACTTCATGGAGAAAACAGAGGCTGCTAAAGGAAAATTGCCTCAGCTCCTAGCCTTGGTCCTTCAGTCAGGTCAGCTGGAGAATGTCTACCTATGGTCCCTTTACCCCCTTCTCTCACATATCCAGGACACAACCTTGGCCCTTTCCACTCACTCCTACAGTATCATGTCTTCTTGGAAACCAGGTCATTCTTACCATCACATACATACAGTTTTGCCTCCCACCTTAAATAATAACAACTGTAATAACAGTAACCAAACCCAAAAGCCACTTCCCTTGTCAGCCATAGCTGCTTCCACTCCAAGTTCACTCAGTAATGCTTCAAAAGCTGCACCATAGAGCACAGCCAGATGAACTTTCCCTGTTCTCTCTCTCTCTCTCTCTCTCTCTCTCTCTCTCTCTGCTCTCTGCTCTCTGCTCTCTTCTCTCTCTGCTCTCTCCTCTCTCCTCTCTCTTCTCTCTCCTCTCTCTCCTCTCTCTCATCTCTTTCCTCTCTCTCCTCTCTCCCTTTCCTGAACTCTGCTCCTCCATATCTAGGGTTTCCTGGCTAGATATGCCCAGAACCTGCTGAAGCCTGCTCTGCTCCAGTCTTTCTTCTCTGCCTCTGTCTGGCCAAAGGATTTCTTCACAGAGGACATTTGTATAAGTCAGGGGTCCCCAAGCCCGAAGCCACAGACTAGTACCAGTCCCTTGCCTGTTAGGAACTGGATCGAACAGTAGGAGATGAGTAGCAGGTAAGCACACCTGTATTTACAGCCACTCCCCATCTACACGTGAGCTCCACTTTCTGTCAGGTTAGTAGTGGCATTAGATCCTCATAGTAGCATGAACCATACTGTAAACTGTACTTATGAGGGATCTAAGTATTTGTTCTCATAAACCATCCTTCCTACCCTACTTCTGTCATGGAAAAGATGTCTTCCTGGGACCAAAAATATTGGAACCATTGGTCTAAGTGATTAGTGGGCCCCAGCGAGATGAAGGAGGAACCCTAGTCAAACATCAAGAGTTCCTCTGCTTTGCTATGATATATGAAACCCTCCCTGGTATCCCTAGGCCTCAGTTCCCAAAGGTGAGGAAAACTTAGTCACTCTGGACCCTGGAGCAATTCTATCCTCAGCTTGGCCTGTCAGGGCCTGATTTTGCTGGTCTTTGTTCTCTGATGTCCTTTGCTTTGCCCTTTGAGTTCCAGGCACCCACTATTTTATATCCAGATGCAGTTTTCTCTTTGTTGTGTTTGTATGTAACAGGTTAAGCACTTTGTAAATCCAGGCTTTGCTTCTCTTGGAAGGTTAGGGTTTTTGTTCTCTTTTGCCATTTCACAGGACCCTGCTCCATAGCCATCACTGTCCACCCATCATAGGCAGGTTTTTTAACCTCTTCCCCTTTATTCCTGGTGATCCCTCATTCTCCAGACCTCAGCCCTGAACTGTAGACTGAGGATCATCTCCTTTTGGTCATCATCACTTCCTTATGTATTTTATTTTAAATAATTATTTTATTTTATTTTATGTATCATTATCATTATTTTTAATTCGACCAGAGAGAGAGAGAAAGTGAGAAAGCAAGTTGTCAGTTCCAAGACTCAAACCATGGTTGGCCATGTGGGAGTCCAGTACCCTAATCACCATGTCACACGCTAGCCTCTTCTCATGCATTTTATTTTTTATTTTTATTTATTTATTTATTTATTTTTTGGGAGAGGTTTTTGCTATAGGGAGCATGCATTCACCAGAAAGACAAAGAGAGAGAAAAAGTGAGAAATTACCCCTCCAGGGCGATGGCCACTCTGCAATCCCTTCTCTTCTATTCTTCTCTAGGGATCTTGGGCATGCACATACACACACACCCAATATTAGTTTAGGCCACTGGGTCCGAGACTTGAACCAGTTGACTACACAGGAGTCCAGTGATGTAACCATTATGTCATCCGCTGGTCTCCCTTCTCATGCATTTTAAATTGACACTACATGCATATTTTCTAACACTCCTTTGAACATAACTTAGCATCTTTGCAATCCTCTGCTTCTTATTGTTTCCTTGAATCCTTGGCCTTCTCAGCCCCGCCCCCCTTATGTAATCTCTTGTTTCAGAGAATCTACCTTTTCTTTTAAAATGTTCAATTTTGTATTAACACATAATAATTGTTCCTATGAGGGAGGACAGTATGACTTCTCAGAACATAGCTATGGGGTGTAATAGTTAAATCAGGGTGATTAGCATTGCCGTCATCTCAGCCATTTGTCATTACTTTGTGCTGAGAACATTCAAAATCCTCTTTTAGTTACTCTGAAAAATGCGGTAAGTTGTTGACAACCAACAACTTGTTCTCTGCTGTGTTTTATAACACTAGACATTGTTCCTCCTCTCTGTCTAATTTTGTTTCTGTTGATCAACATCCTTCTATTTCTCCCCTGTACAAACTTCCCAGCCTCTAGAAGTCACTCTTCCTCTATCTATTTCTATGAGGTCATGTTTTCCAATTTCTACACATGACGGAATATGTGGCAGTTCAACTTTTGTGCCCAGCTTATTTCATTGAACTTAATGTCCTCTAGGCTAGCCCATTTAACCTCAAAGGACCAGAAAATCTACCTTTTCTTAGCTATAATTCAAAGTACTGTGATGAAGCAATGTAAGTTTTTCCAAATAAATCACATTTCCAATTTAAGCCCTCTCTTTAACCCCTGGGGGCCATGTTTTCCTACTTTTTTATAAAATAATCTTTTCACAGACCCATATTATTTTTATGTTTACATATCCTTATGATATATGAGCTCTCCTAGTCTGGAATGTCATGTCACAAGCAGAATAAAATGGGAGTTTTTTCTCATCTACCCCTCCATTTTCATTTGTGAATAATTAGGATCTCATGCTTTCTTTTTTTTTTAACTTCTTAATACTAAAGGTTTGATGCCAATTACTTCAGCAAGTCTAGAGCTAGAGTCACAAGTAATTTCGGCAAGAAAATATAACACCATTAAAATGCTATTTCAGAAAACAATTACGTGCTGTTCATGCTATTTTTAGCCTGAACTATAAAAAGGTAAGTGTAGGTATAGGCTCTTTTCCTCTTAACACAGCAGGAAAAACCCACTGGCCTTGGTGGCCCTCCAAAGATTGGTGCACTCTGTCCAGAAGGCATACAGTGCATGCCTGCCTCAGCAGAGAAGATCTTTTCTATCTGCCACAACACTGACAGCCCTGGCTTTGGAGGTGCACCTGACCCCTGGCCCACCAGCAATGCCTGCTCCTCTGCCTGGTTTCCTTCCTGGTCATGCTGCCCATGACCTGCCACTGGCTGGAAGACTTGTACCTTCACTTCCATGCCTGGTCCAGCTTGCTTGTTGTCCAGAGCAGTGGATTTGGGGACCCCATACTCTCCTGTCCTTCCTCTCCTCGTACCTGACTTCCTCAGTTGCTCCATCTTAGGAGCCGGAATCATATCTGAGTTGGGGAGATGCACCTTTGATGAGCTACCTGGTGGGTTTTTTTCCCACTTTCCATCCTAGTTAACCCCTCATATGGCCTTTTCACACAGGATGCAGAAGCATGGAGTTGTCCTTGAAAGGTCACTGCTGCTTTCAAAATCTGTCCTAAGACTTCTCTTTCTGATAGCTTCCTTAAACAATACATATAATTCTCATAGCCACGTACATGGGTTCAAAGGGTTTATGTTTGTGTGGCTACCATATAAAGCATGGAATTCTTACCAGGAATCAAGTTGCTGCAGTACCAGCCACATATAAAATAAAGGCATGAATCGAACAGGATCATCCAGCAAACCCAGCCAAATGTCATGCCCCCTTGTTCTGGAGCCTGGTACATATTATTCCACTGAATGCCTGGCAGGAAGAGAAAGGTCAGATTTAGACTGTGCTTCTTCTTTTACTGTAGATTCTAGTAAAATGAGTTCATTAATTCTGGAAGCTCATGTAAAGAGGATAGCAGCTGAAAGAAAAAAAAAATCAATACCATTCACCTTAATTCTTCAAATGAAATGTTAGCTCGTGTAATCTGTTTCAATGATATTAGGTCAAGTGACCACTGACAACGTTTACTATTTAACATTTAAAAAAAAGACTTAAAGTCCATTTTATTTAGACCTATATTTTTTACTCAATTAAAATACATTTATATGTAGTAAAAAATAAGCATGTTTTTAAAAATACATAAAGGTTTCTTGGAAACCCAAATTGTAAACTACATAATTCGTTCTGCTTTAGGAAAATATAAAAATAGAACATAAGAGCTTGGGTGAAACATTATTTATTTATTTATTTATTTATTTATTTATTTTTACAAAATGCTTGCAATTTATTGCTAGGTTCAAATGTAATTTGTTCAAGAAAAATACTTCCCTTTAAAATTCTCCGTATGGTACAAGGCTACAACTTAATAAAACACATTTTAATCATTGTGTACTTGTTGGAATTTGAACAAAAATAAAACCATGAATTTTCCTATTTTTTTAAACACATGGAGATCAGTTTAGAGAACAAAGAAGAAATTATTTGGATTACTATATTTTTCTGGGTGTGTGTGAGACATTCTTGCTATCAGGCACATGTGCTCAGCATAGAGACAGAGAGAGACAGAGAGATAGAAAGCGAGAAATCACCCCCCAGGGGGGATGGCCACGCCTCAATCCTTTCTCCTCCATTCTCCTCTTGAGATTGTGGGCATGCACACACACCCAGCATGAGTTTCAAGCCACCGAGTCTGGGACTTGAACCACAGTCAGCCATGTGGGAATCCAGTGCCTTAACCATTACACTACCTGCTAGCCTGTGGATTACTCAATTTTTAACAAACATCTTTTTTTTTTCTTTTTTTTTTTTGGAGAGGTTTTTGCTATAGGGCGTGTGCTCTTGCCAGAAAGACAGAGAGAGACAGAGAGATAGAAAGCGAGAAATCACCCCCCAGGGGGGATGGCCACGCCTCAATCCTTTCTCCTCCATTCTCCTCTTGGGATCTTAGGCATGCACGCACACGCGCCCAGTGTGAGTTTAAGCCACCAGGTCCGGAACTCGAACTGCGGTTGACTACATGGGAGTTCAGCGACATAGCCATTACGCTAACTGCTGGTCCCAACAAGCATCTTTAATGAGCATTTTAGCACTGTTTATTGAAAAGTCTAAGAACTTGGGGGCCAATAGGTAGTGTGGTGGATAAGGAAGGCACTGAACTCCCAAGTGGCTCACAGCAATTCACATCTTGGGCCTGGTGGCCTGAAAATCATACTTAGTGCATGTGCATATGTGCCCAAAATCACAGGAAGAGAGTGGAGGAGAAGGGGTTGCGACATGGTCACCCTCCCAGGGAGGGTGATTTCTCACTTTCCCTCTCATCGTCTCTCTCTGTCTCTCCAGCAAATACACACACCCTATGGCAAAAACCATTGGGAAAAAGAAAAGATTAAGAACTTTAAGACCAAGACAAATTAACTGGTTAACACAAGAATAGCTAGAATTGAGTGTTACTTATGGCCCCGTATGTTGCCAATAAGTGTTTATAAGTCACACCCCCAAACCATATACATATCTAAGAAATACATGTCTATACTGGTTTAGGATTTTAATTGTCAAGAATCTCAATATACGGGGACTTCAAAAAGTTAGTGGGAAATGGAAGTAAAGTGTAAGTTCAGGAGCCAGATGGTGGCACAATAATAATACATCTCTGCGGTGTAGACCTGCGTAGGAAGGTGACCTGCTCCAGTCCAGAGACCTGAGTAATGGGGCATGCGTGTGCCCAGGATCTGGGCCAGCTGGAGCTGGATGGCAGCACTGAGACCCTGCTGGGGTGCTGTGTCTCTGTCCCTCTCTCTGTCTCTGTCTTTCTCTCTCTGTCTCTCTCATGGAATAAATAATCAACTTTCTGAAAAAGTTGTTTAAATAAAGTATGACTTTATTTTGTTGTGAAAATATGTGAAATGCATCTTTAAAAAAAAAAAAAAAACACTGTTCATGAACTTTTTTTTTTTTTTTTGAGAGGTTTTGGCTATAGGGCGCTTGCACTCGCCAGAAAGACAGAGAGAGACAGAGAGATAGAAAGCGAGAAATCACCCTCTAGGAGGGATGGCCACAATCCCTTCTTCTCCATTATCTCAGGATCTTGGGCATGCGCACACACACGTCTGGTGTGAGCTTAAGCTTCCAGGTCCAGGACTCGAACTGCGGTGAACTATGTGGGAGTCCAGCTACATAGCCATTACTCCAACTGCTGGTCCCATGTTCATGAACTTTTTGAAGACCCCATATGTAAATGAAAAACACTGACAAGAAATTGTCTTTTAAAGAATTATTTTATTTAACTTTACTTATTTATTTATTTTAATTTGACCAGAGAGGGACAGAGTGTGTGAGAGAGAGAGAGAAAGAGAGGGAAAATGAGAAAGCAAGCCACCAGGTCTGGGACTCAAACGGCAATCAGCCATGTGGGAAGCCAGCATCCTTAACCACCACACCACCTGCTGGTCCCCTAACAAGAAAATTTTTAAAAATGATTTACGGCTGTATTAGTAGGATAAAATATACAGAAAATGGAGATGATTGTGCTCTCTTCTACCTATTCCTAGGTCCTGATCGTCAGGATGATCTGGAAACCCCGGGAGTTCTGAGAGCTGACAAACATGTGAATGCTGTCATATGAAAGAGGGAAGTAGAAGAGGTTTGCAGAGGATCCAGAAAGACAGACTTCAGCTCGATAATACTCTAACAGGTGGGATGCATGTGTGCACCCCACTAAACTGACCGTATGTCAGGAGTGTGACAAAGAAGACCCAAGCATTATCAGGGCAGCTTATCTGGACAGTGTCTGAAGGAAGGGATGCCTTGATTATTCTCGGCTGTTCCCAGAACAGAGTAATTGTATGGTGGGAAGCATTTACCTCAGGGAAACCAGATATTAAGGTCTTATTCCAAATGTCCCACTTGGTAAGAAAATCTTGCTACTGTATCACTTGCAGCCTAACCACAAATTTCCCAAAACTCGAATCCCTGAGAGTCACTTTTTTAAAAACGCATCCTCTTACCCGCCTCTTGTCCTTCCAGGAATGTGATGAAAAATACTCCTTGTCCAAAGGCTGTTGTCGAGAGGAAGCACTGGCCGTGGATTGATGGCATGAGGAGAAAAACAGCACATTTAGCATCTGATTGGGACCACAGAAAATCCACAGTATAAAATCAAAAAGAGAAGCCATTGCCTTCCAGTTCTAACATGCCAATCGTTGCTTCAGGCGATGATTTAAATATCTGAACCTCAAAGACTCAGCAGAATGTCAGCCTACTCTGAAAAGTGGGATAACAAGCTGGTTTTTAATGTTAAAAGGAATTATTTCTCTTTACTGCAACGCTTGAAGTGTCATAAATCCAATGCGCTGTATACTGAAATGTGGAACACAAAACAGTGGAAAATGGAATGGAGCAATTTACTATTTTTTATTATTAAGTGAATGCCCTAGAGCACACTGCGGGCGGACTGATGGAATATATATACTGTTCTACACTAGAAAGAGAGTAGAAAAATGAGAGTAGAAAAAAAGCAAAATGAAATGAAGGAAAATGTTATTTCATCTCTAGTGGAGGGGTCTGATGTAAGGAAACGAGGCCACTGAAAATGCAATTATTAAATTCTTTTTACTTGCTAGAAACTATTTAAATATGTTATAAGAAAAGTAAAACTTTGTATGCATAGACTCCTTTACATATAAGAATTGAAGAAAAACAAAATAACAGCATTTGAAATTTAAGTCAGATTGTCAATGTTGCCTTTCTCCATGGAGAGGGGAGTTTACCAGGAAGAGACTCACATGGTCCCACTTGCGTTATTTATTCCAAAAACACCTAATTAACACAGACTCAAAATTGTTGGTTCTGAGCTATTATAGGTACAGTCAAAATCAATAAACACCTACCTGTGCCCAAAACACTGAACAGTCCACTTTTACGGTATGCATGCGTATCTATGGTTAGTTGAAATCAGAGCGTTTTGGATGGTTTTACTGAAGTTGTAGAAAAATAATTTGGCTTTCACAGAAATATTTTATTCAGACACTATAAATGAGCAGAAAAGGTGATCGAGCCCTCCCAGTGAGTGAGTGACATACTGGGGTGTCAGGAGTCCTGTATTGGACTAACACACTTTTGAAGGCCTTGAAAACCCTGTGCAGTCTCGTGATTCTAAGTCTTCCTGACACCTCCCTGAAGCCTCTATTAATGATGTCAGTCACACCTCCCAAAGACTGCACTTTGAGGAAGTCATATGATCGGCTAACGAAAGCCTTGGACATAATGAAATGCTTAGCTGAGACACTGGCTCTGTAAGAGAGATCCTGCCGATAGCGATGTATTCAGTCCTGCACTGACTGAATTCCCACGACATGTCAGGCGCTGGGTTTGCCAGGCAATAGTCCTCAAAGTATGAGTGCATTTCAACCTCCCACATATTTTCTAGTACAGACCCAAAAGCAGTCTCATCCTTTCTCAGGAGGTACATTTTAAATGGATGAGCAACTTTGACATTGCTAACGGAGAGATCTTTCCACTTAATGTGATGTAATTCATGATGCTTCAAGAAAAATGCTTATTTTTTCACTTCTAAAATAGCCTTAAAAATCTATTTCTTTCCATGCATGAAACAAAAAGGAGCGAAAGTTATATGCTTCTTCCATAAGGAAGCTGCTGCGTTCCCAGCATCTTCTGAGTCCTCATTTTGTGAAAAATAGCAAGTCCTAATGGACTGCCATCCAGAGAAACTATTGCAAGTTCAATGAGCTACTGCTGCAAGGTTTGCAGTGTGGGGAGAATAAAGTAGACAACAGAAAGCCTGTTTAGATGTGAACACAATGAATTGAAAAGTTAGGGGAGGTAGTTTTGTTTCCTTGGGCGGATGGCAGTTTTGTTCCATTTGGCGTTTTCACAAGTACTCACCAAAAATGTCTGAATGACCAGACTTAATTGATTATGTAGGACCAACAGAACTATGTAGGGCAGGAAGCTGATCATATACACCAGGCTGGTGCAAAGGGCTGCTGTGTTAGCTTGGCTGAAAAATGCACTCAGGAGGTAACTAAGCATGATGACAGACACCCCGAAGTCCAGGAGAAAGAGGAAAATGATGCAGGCGTTGCTGTGTGCAAAGATGCCGCTCATTTTCAGAATGATGGCCAGAGAGGCGCTGCAAATAATCATCATGGCCAGGTTCTCCAGGAACCAGGCCAGGAAGTGGGTGGTCGGATGCACTCCCATCATCCGCAGGTACTGTCAAAAGAGGGGAAAACCCGAGTTATCACAGCACCGGATACTTGAGAAGAAACGGATCAGATTGTGGGAGAGAGAGACTGTACTGTGGTCAAATAAACCAGTGTCGCTTACGACCAGCTCTGTGAAAGGCACTAGAAGGACACTTTCTCCAAGACCTCAGCTTTTGATTTACATGCACACCTTACCAGCAAACCATTCAGCATTTAGTGGAGAGAGAACTAAAACTAGGAGATGTTAAAACAATCTCCTTGGCAAAAGGCCCAGTAGGGAAGGGGAGGAGCAGATATCTCAGATGTCAGGCATGGTTGATTACAGTCTCCCATGCCTTTGTTTATTTGGAGTCTGTTATTTTACTTACAATGCTTTTGTTTTGCATTTGGCTTGTGTTGGTTTTCTTTTAAAAATACTAAGAGAGGGGGGAACCAGCAGTTAGCGTAATGGCTATGTCACTGGACTCCCACGTAGTCGACCGCGGTCCGTGTCCCGGACCCGGTGGCTTAAAACTCACGCCGGGCGCGTGTGCGTGCGTGCCCAAGATCCCGAGAGGAGAATGGAGGAGAAGGGATTGCGGCGTGACCATCCCCCCTGGGGGGTAATTTCTCGCTTTCTGTCTCTATGTCTCTCTCTGTCTGTCTGGCGAGCGCACGCGCCCTATAGTGAAAATCTCTCCAAAAAAAAAAAAAAAAATACTAAGAGAGGGGTTGGCCAAAGGCCTAGTGGTTAAGGGGCCCAGATTACACATGGTCAACCAAAGTTCAAATCCTGGCCCTGTCAGTTTGAAAAACATGCCAGGTGCATGCACATGCATGCCCCAAATCACAACAGGATAGAAAAATGGAGGAGAAGGGACTGCAACCTGGCCGTGCCCCATTAGAAGTGCTTTCTCCCTCTTCCTCTCTTTCGCCCTCTCCTCCCTTTGCCAAATAAGCATACATGCTCTCAGGCAATTAAAAAAATATATGGAAAAAGAAAACTGAAGGGAGGAAATACTGATTCTTTTTTTTGCCGGGGGGGGGGGGGGGGGGGGGTTTTTGCTATCGGGTGCATGCACTCACCAGACAGACAGAGAGAGACATAGAGACAGAAAGCGAGAGATCACTCCCCAGGGGGGTTGGCCATGTCGCAATCCCTTCTCCTCCATTCTTCTCTTGGGATCTTGGGCATGCACGCACACGCACCCGGCATGAGTTTAAGCCAACGGGCCCCGGATTCGAACCGCGGTCGACTACATGGGAGCCCAATGACATAGCCATTATGCTAACTGCTGGTCCTGGAAATACTGATTCTTATGCTCTTCAGGACAGAGGGTCATTACAGAGGTTTTAAATACATTTTTTTAAACTAACTTTGTTCAGTGTAAGACAGGTAAAATCAGTCCATCCACTAGAACTAACATTTGCTCTTCACTCTCAAAGCAAGATCCTTATACGTAGGACTGATTACTGGTGAAATAAGAACCACAGGTGCAGAAGCTTCCGCCCCAGGTGAGCCACCTGGTGGGTCAGAGGAGAGGAGCCTAGCAACCTAAGGCACAGTCTCCACGGCCCTGTGCTCAGGGCTAAACTGAGTCGAGAAGAAGCACAGAAATCTATGAGTAAATGGACTGTAAATAGATAAATAAGATGCAAAACAGTAATGCAAGCCCTATACGTGCTTGTAAAATTGGGTGAAAAATACATTCTGCTTTACTACGCTCTTTCCTTATTTAATTAATACTTTTTATAAAGAATTATTTTATTTAACTTTCTTTATTTATTTTCATTGGACCAGAGAGGGACAGAGAGAGAAAAAGGGAAAGTAAGAGAGCAAGCCACCAGGTCCAGGACTTGAACCGCGGTTGGACATGTGGGAGTCCAGTGCCCTTAACCACCATGCCACCTGCTGGCCCCAGTACTTTATTTTAATAAGTAAGCCAACAATGTAGTCATTGTCTTATAGCATCACTCCTTGCAAGAATAGATGGGAAGTCAGGTCTTTGCCAGACACGTTTACACACTTCCATTCTTTCTTTCCTTTTTCTTTTTATTTGTTTCTTCCATAAGCAAGAGAGACAGAGAAAGAGAAAGACAGAGAGAAAAAGAGAGCAACCAACACAAGGTCTTCAAGCCTTATCCACCCCTAGTTCCAGCCAGCCTTGGGTCATGAGCACACGTGTGCCAAGTGTACTCAGGGAGGTATCCTAACTTGAACTAGGAAACCACCTCATGTGGGAAAGCCTCACAAAGTATTACATTTTACCACTGCACCACTGTCTAGCCCCTAAATTTTCATTCTTAAAAGCAATACTGGGGCTAGCAAATGGCATAGCAATTCTGTCGCTGGACTCCCATATGGCTAAAGGCAGTTCAAGTCCCGGACCTGGTGGCTTGAAACTCACACCGGGCACATGTGTGTGTACGCCCAAGATCCCAGGAGGAGAATGAAGGAGAAAGGACTGCAGTGTAGCCATCCCCAGTGGTGGGGAAGGGGGAGTGGGTGATTTCCCTCTCATTCTCTTTCTCTCTGTCTCTCTCTGGAACATGTGCCCTGAGGCAACAGTATCTTAAAAAAAAAAAAAAAAAAAAGCAGTATTGATAGTTTTAAGTTTTAACAACATTAGAACCAAAAGCAGTAAGGCTTTACATAAAGAATTCTAACCATAAATTAAGATGAAAAAATCTGTCCTATTTTTCTGGGTTTTAAAATTATTGCTGAACTAGCAACATGGGCTTTGTTCTTTCTATCTCATGTACCTCTTCAGTTTTCTTTCATCTCAATAGAAAATATCTATTAATCTCTGCCAGTGCCTCAAACTTCTGCATAAAATAATTTTCATGGGATAGGAACTCAGCTAAGACAGTACCAGGGACAGACACCCTGCAGAGGGGAGGGCAGACAATACCTTTACGGAATACAATTCATTTCCAAAGACCCTGCCTGCCCCTCCCTGTCTCCAGGCCAGGACTAAAGCTACTCACCTCTTCTATCTGGATCTCCCGCTCATAAACCAGCTTCCGGACCATGCTGGCCACAGACACCATCCAAGTGAGCATCATTATCAGTGGAAAAAAGAAACCGACGTTGTTCAAGAATCTGTAAGGGCATAATTCAGTCAGCATCCAAGGACAGACAAAATACAGGCATACATGATAAGTACTGCACCTGAGTAGTCACCCCCTCATCCTTGGGGACAGAGTCCAAAGCCCCCAGTGGATGCCTGAACCCATGGACAGTACTGAACCCTATGTTTTCAATCTGCTAACCAGGGAGGCTCCTAAGTGACAAACGGAGTGGTGGGGAGAGGAGAGGGGAGGGACAGTCGAGTCTGCTGCATGGATCTGGTGCACAAGATGATTCACACCCAGTGGGACCAAGCATGACCACGTGAGATGTCATCACGCTACTCAGAACAGTGTGTAATTTAAAACTTGGGAATTATTTCTGGAATTGTCCACCTGGTATTTCCAGACTGTGGTTGATCACAGGTAATTGAAACCATGAGAAAGCAAAACCTCAGATAAGTGGGGACTGCCTTTTAATATTTTTTTTTCCCAAGTTACAAAGCACTTTCAGAAGCAATGTCTCAGGAGGCCAATTCAGCAGACCTATGACATCAACATGAGCTATGACTGGGCCCTGATTTTACACATGTGCAGACACATGACTGGTTCAAGTTGCCCAGGTAGCAATAACCTGACTCACACCCTCTCTGACTCCTGCCATAGGCAAAGCATGTTGGAAGAAGGAGATAGGCTATTAATTCATGACCACAAGTCCCCCCATTGAATTGGGACTTTTACTTCTACTCAGTCAATCATATCAACTGATCATAAATGACCATTTATAAAATACGTGAAAATGTGCAAATGGACATCTCCCTATTTCCCCAACACTTACTTTTCAATCCACTCTAACAAGGCTCCTTTTCTTTCTTTCTTTCTTTTTTAAAGTTTTATTTTATCCACTTGTTGGAAAACACATATATTTCCATGCAAAAGTATGTCATGACTTTTCTGACAACCCAATATTTGTCTATTCAGAAAGAAATAAAGAGAGAGAGAGACACCCCGAATGGGGCCCTCATGCCACAATCCATGCCCAGCCTCTATAAGCCAGGATCATGAGTGTGCTCAGCATGCACAGAGAGGCCTCCAAATGCCAACTTGGGACCTACCCATATGGATCCACCATTGCAGAGCACTGGTTACTACTGAACCAGTGACTTGACTGTATTTATAAAAATCAATTAAAATCACTCTTACGCAGGACTAGTGACAGTCATGTCCTGAAATTCAGTAAGAATTCTGGAGCCATTTTCCTTCTTGACTCTCAGCTATATTTTCTATCCCCGATCATAGTCTCCTTTCTCTTTTCTTAGCTTCCAGAATAACTCTCAACCTTTCATCCCTACTCAGCAATTTCCCAGCCTCCTTCATGATCAGTTTCTCTTTAACCTGTGCTGATAGAGTGGACATTCTCACCCCTATACTAGGGTGACTTCTGTGCCCTCTCTCCTATTCCAAGTTCTCTGAGCTCTATTGCACACACATGTTCCATATCCCTTATCCTGGGAAAAGAAGTCTTTCAGATTCCAGACATCTTGGATTTTTGCATATACATAATGAGCAATCTTGGGAATGGGACTCAAGTCTGAAAATAATATTTATTTATGTTTCTTATACACATAAGATAGTCGGATTAGGGATGCTCAATCTGTATTATTTTGTTCATCACTGAGATCAACCACATTCTGAGGCCTGGGATACATGAAAAAAAACAAATAGTAATACTAGGTCCTGCTGTTAAGAATCCTCCACTCTGATTGGGAAGGGTGGATCCTAAGTTAAGTCAATAAACCAAGCAATAGAGTACAGAGGAGTGGTGAATACCAAGGAAGGGAGGAAAAACAGCAGTTGCTCATGCACCAGGGAGAAGGACGTTGTTTTGAATAGGGTGGTTAGGTGAGGTGACAGTGGGAGAAATATTGAGCAGAGAAAAATGAAGTAAGGAAATGAGTCATGCAGGTACTTGAAGGAAGACTGGTCTGACCAAAGGAGCAGACAGGGCACGGCTGGAGATGGGAGTGCAGGGCATGGGTCAGGAGCAGCAAGGCCTTGGTGGACAAGCAGGAAATAGGGCCAGGTGATGCAAGAGTTTTGCACACCAGGGTCAGTTCTAAATTTTAGTCAGTGAACAAAGGGATACCATGAAATAATTTTCAAACAAGGAGAGGGAAACGGGTGACATAATCAGGTTTATTGGGGCTTTTTTCTTTTCTTTCTTTTCATTTGCTAGAGGGCACGTGAGCTCATCAGAGAGACAAAG